ATGTGGTGTTCTTGTTTGCTTTTGAGTCCCTGTTCAGGCGCACCCTGAAAAAAGGACTCCTAATTTGACCTCCCTTCCTGGTTTTCAGATTCCAGTTTTCTATTTTGGAATCACGGTTTCTGGATTCCGTCTCCAACATTCTCTCTGAAATTCTGCAGCAAGAATCAATAAAACTTGACAGGTTGATGAACAATAATCATTTATGATTTTTCATCATAAATTCCCTCTGTCAACAACACTGACAAAACAATTGCACATGCTCAGAATAAATTGATTCAGTTAGATTCATATTCAGAATCATGAATTTGATTTCAGATTAACAAGTTTCACCTATTAATATGTATTTGATCCTAAATAAATCGATAACAGAAGCGCAGTTTGTACTATACATAGAAAACAGAGCTATCATTAAAACTTAGAACAACTGAGACTAACAATTTATGTTACAGAAAGATACAAAAAGTCTTATAATCATGAATGAACAAAAAAGTGTCATAAAATTATTATTGGGTGTCATTTATATCTTACATGTCATTTACTGCCTTAGATAATGAAAACTTGTGTTATTTCAAGAATGAGCATTTTGTATTTCCCTTATGTATGCAGTTTTAAATAATGAAATCATGAATTTGCTGAACATCTTCACAACAAGCAGCCTGTCGGCTGAGATAGCTCCGCTGTTAGCAATGCACATTTCAATTAAAGAAAAGAAAATATCATTAGAAAATGAACAATATGTATAGTATCGAAGCAACGGGACTTGCTGTTTTCAACAAGAATTTATAAATATCACTTTTCACCAAAAATGACAAAAATAATCATCAAAATTAGATAATTGAAGATATCACCACAAAATTAACAAATCTGAGAGATGACCACATGTAGTACCTATATATGTAATATCAAAGCAATTGGACTTGCGGTTTATAACAAAAAGTCGAAAATATAACTTTTTACCAAAAACGACAAAAATATTCACCAAAATTAGAGAATTAAAGATATCATTACAAAATGAACAAAACTGAGAGATGTCCACATGTAATATCTACATGTATTTGTGTAATATCAAAGCAATTGGACTTGCGGTTTTTAACAAGAAGTCGAAAATATCACTTTTTACCAAAAATGACAAAAATATTCACCAAAAATAGCGAATTTGAGATTTTGACATGAAATGAACAAATCTGATAAAGAACCATCCAAGATACTTGCATATCAAGTTTGAAAACATTTTGACTTGCTGTTTCGAAGAAGAAGTTGAAATTGTAAAGTTGACGACGACGGCCGAGGTTCAAACCTACATTGTACATGTACAACCTAGCTTGCACTGCTGCGCAATTTATTTGACGATTATATCTGTAAACCCACACTATCTTATGTCTCAAATACTTATCTCATAAATTAAGATGTCCATTCTTATGTTATATCTGTATCGTATAGTGAGTTAGTCCTTAACCCAAAAATATTAGACCACATCACTTATTTGCATAATTATGTGTTGTCTGAATGTTCTGAAGACACAAATTTGAGGTTGATACATACATGTATTCTGCATAAATATGAGGTTGATACATGCATGTATTCTGCATAAATATGAGGTTGATACATACATGTATTCTGCATAAATTTGAGGTTGATACATACATGTATTCTGCATAAATATGAGGTTGATACATACATGTATTCTGCATAAATTTGAGGTTGATACATACATGTATTCTGCATAAATTTGAGGTTGATACATACATGTATTCTGCATAAATATGAGGTTGATACATACATGTATTCTGCATAAATATGAGGTTGATACATACATGTATTCTGCATAAATTTGAGGTTGATACATACATGTATTCTGCATAAATTTGAGGTTGATACATACATGTATTCTGCATAAATATGAGGTTGATACATACATGTATTCTGCATAAATATGAGGATTTTGCAGTTGGCATCACTAGAGTACTTGAATCATACATACCAGCTCTCCCAGTGTATTTTTACTTGTAGGTTTCACTTTTTCAAGGAATTCCAATAAAAAATATGTAAATCTATCAATGATATAGACACCAATAGCAGGATCTACATGATGCTGTAAATATGAAGAAAATAATGTATTGGATGTTTCAGAAAACAGCATTGATACACAAGGTTGTACTAACAATGTCTTTAAAAGTTTTATAAACTACCAGTTGAACTAAATGTCTGTACCTTATGTGTACCTAATTCCATGCAGCAAAAAATTTTCAATAATACATAAAAAAATCCTTAAAATTAATTATTAACAGTTTGATTTCAAAAAAGAAATATTGTTCAAGTAGACATTCCCAATAACATTCAGGTTGAAACACCTTGCACTTTGTTTGATTGCTTAATAAAACCAGTATGTATATATGGCAGTGAAGTTAAGTTTAAGTTTACACACAATAAAATCTATCTAGTATACATGGTTATCAGGCAACACAGGTAGTAAAGTTATCCAGCAACACAGGTAGTAAAGTTATCCGGCAACACAGATAGTAAAGTTATCTGGCAACACAGGTAGTAAAGTTATCCAGCAACACAGGTAGTAAAGTTATCCGGCAACACAGATAGTAAAGTTATCTGGCAACACAGGTAGTTAAGTTATCCAGCAACACAGGTAGTAAAGTTATCTGGCAACACAGGTAGTAAAGTTATCCGGCAACACAGGTAGTAAAGTTATCTGGCAACACAGGTAGTAAAGTTATCCAGCAACACAGGTAGTAAAGTTATCCAGCAACACAGGTAATAAAGTTATCGGCAACACAGATAGTAAAGTTATCTGGCAACACAGGTAGTAAAGTTATCCAGCAACACAGGTAGTAAAGTTATCCGGCAACACAGGTAGTAAAGTTATCCAGCAACACAGGTAGTAAAGTTATCCGGCAACACAGATAGTAAAGTCATCTGGCAACACAGGTAGTAAAGTTATCGGCAACACAGGTAGTAAAGATATCTGGCAATACCATAGTGAAGTTATCTGGCAACACAGGTAGTAAAGTTATCTGGCAACACATGTAGTA